CTGGGGGAGGCGATGGGGGAGGCGGCAGTACAGCAAGCGGGCTCCGTCTCCGTCTGTGCGGAGATGGTGTTGCTGTTCCACCCCCACCCCCCACCTCGTGTATAGAAACTCACAAACGGAGTTGGCCTAACCATCCCATTATAGGATGACAGAGCTTGGGCAAATTGTTTGTGCCGTTCCTGGCACATCTGGAAAGTTTGGGCGTCGCAAAAATGTGTGACGTTAACTTGAATCGGCGCGCCAAAAAAAATTGCACGCCGCTGTGAATTGCGTAGTTGCACTTGATTCGGAAAAAAATCCCAGCCCCGAGAATAAGAGAAGGACGTGCAACTCTTTGACTGGGCACCAGACGAACATTTGTCTAGACGCAGGATGGCGTGGAGCCGTGCAGAGACCTCTCTGATGTCGGGTTTAGACCATTGGAACATCATTTGTCAGCAGTAGCAGAATATGATCATTGTTTTTTTACCCTTTATCTGTCAACAAAACTGACACCTTTTTTACGAGGAGTCGTGTTTGCATTGACCACAATACCTGCGGTCATAATGCAAACAAAAAAGACAACTCTGATAATGTATGCACTGTCCTTGAAGTTGATTGGTCCACACCCGAGACAGCTTTCCTTAGAGCCTAGTTTCACATGGGTTGGACCAGATGACGCATTATGGCTGCAGGTATTGTGGTCTATGCAAAGGTGTCAGTTTTGTTTGCCAGATAAAAGGGTAAAAAACCAATTATAATATTTTTTGCTGGCAAATGAGGTTCCAATGGTAGCCATTTGCCACCCTGGTGCGGCCGGGTACGGGTAGGCCGTGAGTCACTGGTGAGTCACCGTTTGTCACTCATTTCGGGTAGGGTACGGGTAGGGAACGGGTAGGGTACGGGTAGGGTACGGGTAGGGTACGGGTAGGGTACGGGTAGGGTACGGGTAATGAACGGGTAGGGTACGGGTAGGGTACGGGTACCCGTTTGCGACCCTGGTGCGGCCGGGTACGGGTAAGGAATCAAAACCCATCTGCGACCTCTGACCAGCCGTGCTCACCCCCCCACCCCCCGCCCCTCCCCCCTCCTCCTCCTCCCGCCCCGCCAGGAACTGCCGCGTGACGTTGGCGGAGCAGCGGCGCCTGAACGTGGCGACGTTCGGGGCGGACCTCCCCTCCTCTGGCCGAGGTGCAGCCTAGACAGGTGACGACCACGGTGACGGTGACAGCAGCTCGGCTTATTGGAGAGTATATTTAGTATATTGATGATACTGATGTAGTTTATATTTTAGTTTTTTTACGTGGTGGCTTAGTTGCTGCAGCTCCCATACTATTAACATTCCTTCCCTTTCTAGATTTGAAGCTTTCGTGACTGCAAGGATTCGTATTCTTAGGTTTTTTCGGTAAAGTCACGTAGGTAAAAAAAAAAATGTATTAATAAAAGTTACATAAAATAAAAATCACGACGTTTCGGAGGCAACACAAGCTTCCGGAAGCTTTTTTATTTAACTTTTATTAATTTAAATTTTTTTACCTACGTGACTTTATCGAAAAAAACCTAAGAATATGATTCCTTCCCTTTATTAATGCTACCCCTACTCCCTCCCTTTGATGCTGCTAATCCTGCATAATATGACTTTGAAACCCCCCGCCCACCTCCTACACATTCCACAAGTAGTGACTAATCCCATATCTGAATTTCCTATAAATATACTACATTCCTCTGTTGATATGTGAGTCCCTTTGTCAAGGCGCTCTTCCTCCTCTAACCCAGCTTAAATATACGCTGCCAAGCTTAGTGGTGTTCATTCAGACGCTGTCTTTCCGGCTGCAACACGATAACGGAAGTCTGTTGATGTTGCTTGTGAGGTTCTCCTCGTGAGAACACGCTGCTCCGTGGAGGATGAGAGAGAGACCATTTGACGGGGTATGCCGATAGCATAAAAATGAGATGCGACGGACGGAGCAAATCTGAGATCAGATTTGAAATCGGCACCCTGAATTTAGTCCAGAACAGCTGCAAAAGTCCAGGCCAGAACTACATGTTGTTGTTTTGTTTTGTTGACCAGTGTGATATAATTTGCGTATTATATCGTGAACAACTTCTAAATCAAAGAGCGCTCGCACAGCTGCGTGGGTCTCACCCGGTGAGATAAGATGTGGAGGAGTTTGTTTCAAACGGCAGTCGCTTGTCAACGCTCTCGTGCCCCACGTTAGAGATTGGATGACACGGAGAAATGTCGGCCACAATCGGCAATTCTCCAAGTGACAATCCAGCCCTTTGCGGGGTTTGACCACGATCTGTCGTGTTGCTTCTTGACGTCGCCAATGCCGCTCACTGCTGCTGTTGTTGTTGTTGTTGCAGGTTGCAGAGAACCACAGCTCACACCCAGAGCGTACACATATCGGGGGTTTGTTTGATTTAAAAAAAAATGTTGTTGGGTCTGAAGAAACGTTACGTTAAGGACTGCATGTGGGTTTCGATTTAAAGATTCTTTCGTGACTGCAGGGATTCATCTTCTTGGTTCTTTCGGTAAAGTCACGTAGAAGGAAAATAATAAAATAATAAAAACATAATAAAATACAATTCTCACCACGTTTCGGCCACAACGCAAGCAGCCGTCCTCAGGTGAAGAACAGGTCTGTCGGAAAGACAGCGTCTGTCCTTTCCGACAGACCTGTTCTTCACCACAACGCAAGCAGCCGTCCTCAGGTGAAGAACAGGTCTGTCGGAAAGACAGCGTCTGTCTTTCCGACAGACCTGTTCTTCACCACAACGCAAGCAGCCGTCCTCAGGTGAAGAACAGGTCTGTCGGAAAGACAGCGTCTGTCTTTCCGACAGACCTGTTCTTCACCACAACGCAAGCAGCCGTCCTCAGGTGAAGAACAGGTCTGTCGGAAAGACAGCGTCTGTCTTTCCGACAGACCTGTTCTTCACCACAACGCAAGCAGCCGTCCTCAGGTGAAGAACAGGTCTGTCAGAAAGACAGCGTCTGAATGAACACCACCAAGCTTGGCAGCAATATACACAGCAATATACGCTGCCAAACCTGGTGGTGTTTCATTCAGACGCTGTCTTTCCGACAGACCTGTTCTTCACCTGAGGACGGCTGCTTGCGTTGTGGCCGAAACGTCGTGAGAATTGTATTTTATTATGTTTTATTATTTCCCTTCTACGTGACTTTACCGGAAGAACCAAAAAGTCTGCATGTGGGTTTTGTTAATTGATACGCGATTCTTGCAATGTTTATGGTGTGTACACAAGGTACACACCGCGTTTGGTTGAACACTTTAGACGTTTATAATTTTAAAGAAAGTTTTTTACTTTAGTCTAATGGATGAAGGCAAAACATGTCTGTTAAGTCGGACTTTAAATTGTTTCCTGAAATGGGTGCTTTTGTGCGACCGGTCTTAATCTGAAATGAGCATGGACATGACAATTTAATTGAGTTGTGTTTGTATTTCACAAGGCAGCATTAAATGTTGCGGAATTTATATTGGCGCATTGGCCGTGGTGAAGTGTCTGGCGAAGATTAAAGTTGACCGGCTGTTGGCTTAGAACATTGCTTCTTTGAATTTACTGCGTTGCTTTAGATTGCTAGTGTGTGTAGTGTGTGTACTGTGTGTGTAGTGTGTGTGTACTGTGTGTGTACTGTGTGTGTACTCTGTGTGTGTACTCTGTGTGTACACTGTGTGTGTACTGTGTGTGTGTGTACTGTGTGTGTGTACTGTGTGTGTGTAGTGTGTGTGTAGTGTGTGTGTACTGTGTGTGTGTACTCTGTGTGTGTAGTGTGTGTGTAGTGTGTGTGTAGTGTGTGTGTACTGTGTGTGTGTACTCTGTGTGTGTGTACTGTGTGTGTGTACTGTGTGTGTGTACTGTGTTAATTTGTGTCTGACCAGCTAGTTGTGCCTCTGGCTTGTTCCATCTGGCCCGGCCCTCTAGCTGCTACCGTAGGCGCACACCAGCTCAACATCCCTGGTGAGTCGCTACAGTCAGCAGCTGCCAACGCCGAACCCCGGGCGGCGGATAACTAACCCGGCAAACTCGGCTAGTCTGAGCCTGGGCGTGTGGAACCCCTGGTGGAGGAAATTCCACCAAAACGGGTCTTTGGACCTTCCACAGTTCCACTGCAACCAGGACCATCTCCAGTCGTCTTGACTACGTCTCGCCACTGGGTACAGATGCGGCTGGTCGAGAGAGTGAGGTTGACGCGCAAATCACCCTCACTTCAATCCAAGTTCTCTGCGCAAGTCATAGCACTTTATTTACCATCGTCATTATAGTGTATAGTTATAGTAGTGTAGTGTATAGTAGTGTAGTGTATAGTGTAGTGTATAGTAGTGTATAGTGTATAGTAGTGTATAGTAGTGTAGTGTATAGTAGTGTATAGTAGTGTATAGTGTAGTGTATAGTAGTGTATAGTAGTGTAGTGTATAGTGTAGTGTATAGTAGTGTAGTGTATAGTAGTGTAGTGTATAGTGGTGTAGTGTATAGTAGTGTAGTGTATAGTAGTGTAGTGTATAGTAGTGTAGTGTATAGTGTAGTGTATAATAGTGTAGTGTATAGTAGTGTAGTGTATAGTAGTGTAGAGTATAGTAGTGTAGTGTATAGTAGTGTATAGTGTAGTGTATAGTAGTGTAGTGTATAGTAGTGTAGTGTATAGTAGTGTATTGTAGTGTAGTGTATAGTAGTGTAGTGTATAGTGGTGTAGTGTATAGTAGTGTAGTGTATAGTAGTGTAGTGTATAGTGTAGTGTATAGTAGTGTGTATAGTAGTGTAGTGTACAGTGTATAGTAATGTAGTGTATAGTAGTGTAGTGTATAGTAGTGTAGTGTATAGTAGTGCAGTGTATAGTGTATAGTAGTGTAGTGTATAGTAGTGTAGTGTATAGTAGTGTAGATTTGTTTCTTGAAATAATTCCCGACGCCCCCCCGAGCTCACAGCCTCTCACGGCCGCGTGCGTGCCTCCCAGTGTGCACCACCAAACGTATTCGGTTAGACCCCCTCCCTAGCTAGACTCACTCCCCGTGAGTCACCGAGTGCCGCTGAAGGTGGCGACGCAAAGCAAACCCCTTGCCGCACACTGCGCACACGTACGGCCTCTCCCCCGTGTGCTTCCTTGCGTGCACGTGCAAGCTGTCCACCTGCGTGAACCCCTGCCCGCACCTCGTCGCACACGTACGTTCTCTCGCCCGCGTGCGTCCTGGCGTGCCTCTTCATGTCGGAGCAGCCGGGAAAACTCTTCCCGCAATCCTCACAAACGTACGGCCTCTCGTCCGTGTGCGACCTCACTCGCAGGTTCAAGTTGCAGGCCTGCGCGGAGCCCTTCCCGTACTCCTCGCAAACGTACGGCCTCTCGTCCGTGTGCGACCTCACTCGCAGGTTCAAGTTGCAGGCCTGCGCGGAGCCCTTCCCGTACTCCTCGCAAACGTACGGCCTCTCGTCCGTGTGCGACCTCACTCGCAGGTTCAAGTTGCAGGCCTGCGCGGAGCCCTTCCCGTACTCCTCGCAAACGTACGGCCTCTCGTCCGTGTGCGACCTCACTCGCAGGTTCAAGTTGCAGGCCTGCGCGGAGCCCTTCCCGTACTCCTCGCAAACGTACGGCCTCTCGTCCGTGTGCGACCTCACTCGCAGGTTCAAGTTTGCAGGCCTGCGCGGAGCCCTTCCCGTACTCCTCGCAAACGTACGGCCTCTCGTCTGTGGTGCGACCTCACTCGCAGGTTCAAGTTGAAGTCGTGCGCAAAGCCCTTGCCGCACACGGCGCACACGTACTGCTTCTCGCCCGTGTGCGTCTCGAAGTGGGGAAAGCGCTCGCCGCACTGCCCGCACGCGTGCCGCTTGTCGCCGGCGGCGCTTGCAGTCTTCTTGTCTGCTGCAAAGGTACGGACGGGCGGGGAGGACGGTGTGGTGGGAGCATTGTACAACAGGCGTCAGGGTCGGGATCGAACCCAGGACCTGCTGTATACCAGGCGAGGTAGTCAACGTCTCATAGCCACCGTGATGATGAGAGAGAGATCGAACCCACGACGTCCTGTATACCAGGCGAGGTAGTCAACATCTCATAGCCACCGTGATGATGATGAGAGATCGAACCCACGACCTCCTGTATCCCAGGTGAGGTAGTCAACATCTCATAGCCACCGTGATGATGATGAGAGAGAGATCGAACCCACGACGTCCTGTATACCAGGCGAGGTAGTCAACATCTCATAGCCACCGTGATGATGATGAGAGAGAGATCGAACCCACGACCTCCTGTATACCAGGCGAGGTAGTCAACATCTCATAGCCACCGTGATGATGATGAGAGATCGAACCCACGACCTCCTGTATCCCAGGCGAGGTAGTCAACATCTCATAGCCACCGTGATGATGATGAGAGAGAGATCGAACCCACGACGTCCTGTATACCAGGCGAGGTAGTCAACATCTCATAGCCACCGTGATGATGATGAGAGAGAGATCGAACCCACGACCTCCTGTATCCCAGGCGAGGTGGTCAACATCTCATAGCCACTGTGATGATGATGAGAGAGAGATCGAACCCACGACCTCCTGTAGACCAGGCGAGGTAGTCAACATCTCATAGCCACCGTGATGATGATGAGAGAGAGATCGAACCCACGACCTCCTGTAGACCAGGCGAGGTGGTCAACGTCTCATAGCCACCGTGATGATGAGAGAGAGATCGAACCCACGACCTCCTGTAGACCAGGCGAGGTAGTCAACATCTCATAGCCACCGTGATGATGATGAGAAAGAGATCGAACCCACGACCTCCTGTAGACCAGGCGAGGTAGTCAACGTCTCATAGCCACCGTGATGATGATGAGAGAAAGATCGAACCCACGACCTCCTGTAGACCAGGCGAGGTAGTCAACGTCTGCTATCCACCGTGGTGCCACCGTGCTCACCAGCATCGATGTCTTGCAGGATCTCCGTAGAGTCTGGCCGCTTCCCAAGCGCTGCATTATCGTCCATTTCTTGCTTGACGAATCTGGCGGGGGGAATGCAAAGAAAAACAACGACAATGAACGTAGACAACCAAATAGATAAATAATAAATATATAAATGTTGCGCCGTCGTTAAACCCGCCACCACCCGACACAGCCATTTAGTAAGGTTTAGAACAACAGGAACAGACCGTGCCAATTCATTACGCAGTACGGCACTACTGTGGAGTGTATAGTGTAGTGTATAGTTTATCCACCGGCTGTAGTAGTAGCTATCCAAACTCTATAATAGTGTAGAGGTGTAATTGTGTAGATGTATGGGCACGGATGGCTAACAAACACAAGGGGCGTGGTTAGGGCCGTACACAGAGGAGGTGCTCACACCAACGTCTGCACCTGCATCCCCCACGGGCCCCTCCCGGGGGCCGAGCGCTATAAAGGTGGTGAGCCGGAGGGCTCGAGGTCGAGTATTAGCTTAACCAGCGAAGAGTAAAGACCAGCTAGAATAGGCCCCGGAGCTCCCCTGGCTCGCTGTCCTTGTCAGGGCCGACCAGGGCAAGCCGGTGGCGTGGCCCCGAGAGCCCAGACTGACGTTCTTGTAAGAGCCGGTCTGGAGACTCAGGGTGCCGGGATCCCAGCTTGACCAGGGCTGGGATAGGTAGCCTCCCCTAGCTCCGTAGTGGAGGACTCGGGCGTAGATTAGTGGGGTTAGATGTTGTGTCTCCCTGTTAGACGAGTGAAGGGGACGATACCGCTTCAAGTGCTGGGTGTACCCGTTACTGTACACAAGTTGGTGTAATAAATAAGTGTGCCTCCAACCCCGTCGTCCAAGCCTCTTGCAGCTTACTACAGTGGTAATGGTGGTGGTGGTGGTGGTGATGGTGGTGATGATGTGATGATGGTGGTGGTGGTGGTAGTGGTGATGGTAGTGGTGGTGGTAGTGGTGGTGGTGATGATGGTAGTGGTGGTGGTGATGATGGTGGTGGTGGTGGTGGTGGTAGTGGTGGTGGTGGTGGTAGTGGTGATGGTAGTGGTGGTGGTGATGATGGTGGTGATGGTGGTGATGATGGTGGTGATGGTGATGATGGTGGTGATGGTAGTGGTGGTGGTAGTGGTGGTGGTGGTAGTGGTGGTGGTGATGGTAGTGGTGGTGATGATGGTGGTGGTGGTGATGATGGTGGTGATGGTGATGGTGATGATGGTAGTGGTGGTGGTGATGGTGGTAGTGATGGTGATGATGGTAATGGTGATGATGGTGGTGGTGGTGATGGTGGTGGTGGTGATGATGGTAGTGGTGGTGGTGATGGTGGTGGTGATGGTGATAGTGATGATGATGGTCATGATGGTGGTGATGGTGGTGGTGATGGTCATGATGGTGGTGATGATGATGGTGATGGTCATGATGGTGGTGATGATGATGGTGGTGGTGATGATGATGATGGTGGTGGTGGTGATGATGATGGTGGTGATTCTGGTGAAGTTCCCACCTTGTCACTGAACTGGTCCATCGTTTCCTGCAGACTGCGAATCTTCTTCGTAATCTCACTCACAGCGCTCACCTGCACAAGCTCACCACACGCTCACCACATCACTCACCACACACTCACCACATCACTCACCACATCACTCACCACATCACTCACCACATCACTCACCACATCACTCACCACACGCTCACCACATCACTCACCACATCACTCACCACACGCTCACCACACGCTCACCACATCACTCACCACATCACTCACCACATCACTCACCACATCACTCACCACACACTCACCACATCACTCACCACATCACTCACCACACGCTCACCTGCACACGCTCACCACATCACTCACCACACGCTCACCACACGCTCACCACATCACTCACCACATCACTCACCACATCACTCACCACACGCTCACCTGCACACGCTCACCACATCACTCACCACATCACTCACCACATCACTCACCACACGCTCACCACATCACTCACCACCTCCTCCTCACCACCACCACCACCTCCTCCTCACCCTCACCACCACCAACCTCCTCACTCTCACCTCCTCACCACCACCACCCCCTCACCCTCACCCCCACCTCCTCACCCTCACTTCCTCACCACCACCCCCTCACCACCACCACCCCCCTCACCACCAACACCCCCTCACCACCAACACCCCCTCACCCCCACCTCCTCACCCTCACCTCCTCCACCTCCTCACCCTCACCACCACCACCTCACCACCCACCCCCTCACCACCACCCCCTCACCACCACCACCCCTCACCACCAACACCCCCTCACCCCCACCTCACCACCCTCACCTCACCACCCTCACCTCCTCCACCTCCTCACCCTCACCACCACCACCTCACCACCACCCCCTCACCACCACCACCCCTCACCACCACCACCCCTCACCACCAACACCCCCTCACCCCCCACCTCCTCACCCTCACCTCACCACCCTCACCTCCTCCACCTCCTCACCCTCACCACCACCACCTCACCACCACCCCCTCACCACCACCCCCTCACCACCACCACCCCTCACCACCACCACCCCCTCACCCCCACCTCACCACCCTCACCTCACCACCCTCACCTCCTCCACCTCCTCACCCTCACCACCACCACCTCACCACCACCCCCTCACCACCACCACCCCCTCACCACCAACACCCCCTCACCCCCACCTCCTCACCCTCACCTCACCACCCTCACCTCCTCCACCTCCTCACCCTCACCACCACCACCTCACCACCACCCCCTCACCACCACCCCCTCACCACCACCACCCCCTCACCACCACCACCCCCTCACCCCCACCTCACCACCCTCACCTCACCACCCTCACCTCCTCCACCTCCTCACCCTCACCACCACCACCTCACCACCACCCCCCCTCACCACCACCACCCCCTCACCACCACCACCCCCTCACCACCAACACCCCCTCACCCTCACCTCCTCACCCTCACCTCACCACCCTCACCTCCTCCACCTCCTCACCCTCACCACCTCCTCACCCTCACCAGCACCACCTCACCCTCACCAGCACCTCACCACCTCCTCACCACCACCACCACAATCATCCGCCATAGAATAATCATCCGCCATAGAATAATTGTAAACCAAGAGGTGTTGACAATGACTCAGCTAAGAAGGATCTTTTTAAATCTGGTGAAAAAACATGAAGATCTTGATGCTTCAAACTACAGATAATTTGAATACCACAAATGTCTTGTATTTTTTCACGGGGGTTGGCAACAAAACAAGGCTCATTGACTTAGCTAAGGTGTCGTCAGCTCTTAGCACAAGTGTCTGTTTGGCACTTATTGGGATCCATACCTTCTCAGGTTGTGACTCTACAAGTGCCTTTTATGGCAAAGGCAAAAGAAAGGCATTTCCTGTTGCTTGTGAGAAAGAGGAATATCTGACTGCCTTTACAAATCTGGGTAGCAGTTTTAACCTAGACCAGTCTACCTCTGAGCTACTTTGCACATGAGTGCCACCTGTATGGCCAGTCATCTGCCGAAAATGTGAACGATGCAAGATACAAAGCATTCTGTACGGCATCGTCAGCTTCGCCAGAACTATCCGTGCCCCCGACAAGTGACGCCCTGTACCAACACTGCAAAAGGGAAAACTACCAAGCAGCCATCATGAGACATTCTCTGCAAGGTACAATGTGTGCCCCTTCACCCGTCGGCAATGGATGGCACCCCCGAGGATGGTGAGTGAACAGTGACCTGGCTGACTAGAAACCCTGCCCCTGAAAGTGTGTTGCAGGCAGTCCACTGCAGTTGCAAGCAGAGCAAATGTGAGACTGGGAGATGTTCCTGATGTCTGCAAGACTGTCTTGTACTGATTTGTGTCAGTGCCAAAATTGTGCAAATGTTTCACAGGAAACAGAAGACCTACATGGGATGATGGCTCTGATAGTAATAGGGATGATACCGATGAGTAAATATGCGCTGTGTTATAATTTAAGGTGATTTTGAGCTGTAAAGAATCTGTGGTAGAATTGTAATTTTTTTTGGCAGCATTCCAAAACAAGGGGACAGTGTAGCATTTCGAGTCATTTCAGCCAACTTGGGCCAAAGTGTGCTTATATTTGTATCTTTCTGTGATTACACGGTACCTACTGAAAATTTTGATGTACAAAACATCACAGTTTTGCTAAATTTAAAATGTTTATGTTTAATTTTGCTTAGTGCCAATCCGTGAAGTTGAAGCATATTTTCTACAAATGTGCCATATTTCATGGTCTACATTCACACTTGAGTATATAATGCACCAAAACCTGTCTCAAGTGTCTAGGTACATGTATAAGTGTCAGTTTGAGAGATATTTGGTGTTGCTAAAATGTATATAAATAAAGTTACAAACAAAACCAGCAGCATAAGATTTTCGTTTTTTCCAATTCACAATTATATACATTTATGGATTTTGAAAAAAAAACTGCAGGGTATTTTGCGGAGAACTTTTAACATAAAGTCGATAATGGTTTTGTCAATAAAAAAAAAATCATTTAAAAAGTAGTGCCCAGGTGTGGGAACGAAAATCATTTTCTAGCCGCTTTTACCTAGTTCACCTTATGTCCTACTACTGGGTTGTTTACACGCCTGACCTGGTCACAAAACACCGGGTGCAGAGCTCCCACAAAGCTTTTTTGGATAAAAAAAAGAAAACCGGTCACCCTGAAAGCCCCCCCAACCCCCACAGCCACAAACGCAGGCAAACCAGCACCACCTTCACCAGACGTGGTGGCCACACGGAACAAGCCGCTTTGGTTGGGAGAACAAAACTTACACCGAATAACCGAGAAGGCACCTTAACCCGCCCCCCACCACCAACCCACCCCCACCCGTTTCATGTTGTACATGTCGCTTGGAGTGCACACACGAGAACCTCGACGCGGCCACTTCCATTCCCACTACTCCCCCCACTACCCCCACCCACTACCCACACCCACTACATCCCCCCCCACTACATCCCCCCCACTACTCCCCCCACTACCCCCAACACAACCCTCCCCCCACTACCCCCACCCACTCATCCAGTCACTCACTCATTCACCCATCCAGTCACTTAATGACTCACCCACTCACTCACTCAACCCACTCACTCAACCACTCACTCACCCACTCACCCACTCACCCACCCACTCACCCACCCACTCACCCACCCACTCACTCACTCACTCACTCACCCACTCACTCACCCACTCACTTACTCACTCACCCACCCACCCACTCACTCACTCACCCACCCACTCACTCACTCACCCACTCACTCACCCACTCACCCACTCACTCACTCACCCACTCACTCACCCACCCACTCACTCACTCACTCACCCACCCACTCACTCACTCAACCCACTCACTCAACCACCCACTCACCCACTCACCCACCCACCCACCCACTCACCCACCCACTCACCCACCCACTCACTCACTCACTCACCCACTCACTCACACCACTCACTTACTCACTCACCCACCCACCCACTCACTCACTCACCCACCCACTCACTCACTCACCCACTCACTCACCCACTCACCCACTCACTCACTCACCCACTCACTCACCCACCCACCCACTCACTCACTCACTCACTCACCCACCCACTCACCCACCCACTCACTCACTCACTCACCCACTCACTCACCCACTCACTCACTCACCCACCCACCCACCCACTCACTCACTCACCCACCCACTCACTCACTCACCCACTCACTCACCCACTCACCCACTCACTCACTCACCCACTCACTCACCCACCCACTCACTCACTCACTCACCCACCCACTCACTCACCCACTCACCCACCCACTCACTCACCCACTCACTCACTCACTCACCCACCCACCCACTCACTCACCACTCACTTACTCACTCACTCACCCACTCACTCACCCACTCACTCACTCACTCACCCACCACCCACCACTCACTCACCCACTCACTCACCCACCCATCCAGTCACTTAACTCACCCACTCACTCACTCACCCACTCACTCAACCACTCACTCACCCACTCACCCACCCACCCACCACCCCCCACCCACCTCACTCACTCACTCCCCACTCACTCACTCACCCACCCACTCACTCACCCACTCACTTACTCACTCACCCACCACCCACCCACTCTCACTCACCCACCCACTCACCCACCCACCCACTCACTCACCCACTCACCCACTCACTCACCCACTCACTCACCCACCCACTCACCCACCCACCCACCCACTCACTCACTCACCCACCCACTCACTCACCCACTCACCCACTCACTTACTCACTCACCCACTCACTCACTCACCCACCCACCCACTCACTCACTCCCACCCACTCACCCACTCACCCACTCACTTACTCGCTCACTCACCCACACTCACCCACTCACTCACCCACCCACCCACTCACTCACCCCCACTCACTCACCCACTCCTCACCCCCACCCACCACTCACCCACCCACTCACTCACTCACCCACTCA